AACACTGATTGGACTAAAAGTTGGATTTGAATGTATGTGTTCCCAAACACATAATCTGGAAGGTTTGGGAAGGGCAGAAAACTGTGCAACTATGTAGCAACCTACAGACAGGGCTGCGAGAATCAGAAAATGGTAAGCAAACCTTAGACTCAGTTAATATTTTCCAGAAAGTACTGTTAGCATGCGTCACAACCGATTTTACATGTTTTCATCTAAAATCATCTATCGACCCAAGAGAGCACGCACGCTATCTTAAACATTTCACTTATTAACGCTATAAAACACTCCATATCCTCTAAAATAACTAGTTTTGGCTGCATGGTATTCCCATAGTTTTTAAGGGGCAGAGAATGCAAAATGCATACTATTTCGACGGTTCTTACCCAGGTTCCTATCTTGTATTTAGAGCCAGGCAGTTTGGAGACGAGAGTGCCATCTGGACAAGCTTTTTCGTTAAGGCTTCCGGGCGGAATACCACCGCAGATAGTCTCTACTTGTAATGACTTTCCCTCAGCAAACCATTCTATCTTATAAGTCACATTTCTCCAGCTGGCGATTCCGTTAAGAATGTTGACTTTGCACAGTAAAGTTACTGAGACGGTGTTGTCTTCCGGGATATCCTGTACGACAATTTCTGGATTATTGATGTTGTCACTAGAAAATTCCCTCGGAAAGTCTGATGAAAATAGAACAATGCTGATGATTATCTATCAACTCACCTTGAATATCAATATAAATATCTATCTATCTATATATATATATATATATGTAAAGATATATAGATTTATATTATATAGATATATATCCGTTTTCAAAAATATTGTAATTTGAAACTAATTATCACATACATATACCTTTTCTTTTCTCATCCAAAAGGAAATGGACGATGCGTGTATATTTCATATTGATGGAACAATACCTTTTTTGTGAAGTTGTTTTAAAAAAAAACTTTATTACAAATGTGTCAGGTTTACCAGGTAATCGTGTTTTACCCGAAAACTATGAATAAATAACAAGGAAAAAACGACCAAGATCTTCATGAATGTACGAGACCGCGTTGTATATTCAGCATGCTGAATTCAACATACGATTTTCTGGCCGTATGTTCTTTACGTACTGCCAGAAAATTGTGTAGGTTTGAGTGGAAAATTAAGTAAATTCTGAAAATGTAGGATTTTAGAATCAAAATCTTCTATTAAACGATACTTTAAGGAACCATCGACACCTAAAAATAATGACAACCGTTCGAAAACCGAAGCGAAAAATTTCAAATATCTTGCCTCTACAAGACCCGCGTGGTAGGCGTGCCCTGCTAGAACTCCTGACCACTAGAAATTACGCATAGAAAATTGCGTAGCTTTGCGTCGAATGTTCTGAAAATGGTGCGATGTAAAAACAAAATCTGCTATTGCTAAACACTTTTGGGATGTACCATCACTTCAAAATAATATTGACTTTTGGCTTTGTCTTTGTCGCAAAGCCTCACCTGAGGTCAGAAAACCCAGTTTTGTTTTCAACCATAATTCGCATCGACTTTGGGAGTGAATTACGAAGTATCGTCAACTCCAAAACTAATTTGTTTTCATTTTGAGCTCCGAAACATCTATTTCAATCGGGATACGATGGAACTGAAAAATAATCTTGAAAGTTTTATTTCGACAGTTCTTCTGTAATACACTCTGCTCACGGGTGAAGAATGTATCTTGCTGTAGATTCACTTTATTATCAATTAGCCTGATAACAGGGATGTTGGGTTAACAATTGTGGCTAATTATACTAATTATACTAAGATTAATAGATAGTATGACATACCGTAGCAATTAGGTGGCTCCCCTTCTTTTCCATATGGGCAAGTCTTCTTGTAGCCTAAAGACACAAAAAGAGAATTGTACGCATATTTCAAAAAGGGATTTTTTTAACATAAGAAAAAAAGGGCTACCGTGAGTTGCATGTACAACAACAATGAAATTTCATTCCTGAGAAATCCATTTTATTTTGCTACACGCCTGAGATGAAATCGATCACAAATGAGGTCAGCCAAAAGCAGCGTACGAAGTGCAGTCAAGTGTGTCATTTAAAGGGTCTAAACACTTCTAAACGAGACGAGAGATTTCGTCAAAATTTTCTTCGTTTGGGTTGCGTGAGTTGACCGGGTTAGATCTATTAAACAACTGAAGGCGACATAAATTCCCAGACTCACATGGTACCACAGGAGGACCACCTTATGAGTGATTTGATATGTGGAACATATAAAAGGAAATGTATAGCGGTAAAGAATATTGCACTTAATTATGAGAATTTTTCACATATCTCAGTCCTGAAAACATAATCAAGAAAAATTTAATTTCAATGCGTCTAAATGCAGTTGTTCTTTACCTTTCCGAGCCGATTATAGCACCTTTAAGGAGACTTGAAAGGGTTTTATTTTGACCGCGCGGAGAATGGATTTCAAGGTACACGCCAGCAAATTACGCGCGAGAGAAATACGCGAGAACGCGCACAGTCGCATCTGTGGGCGAGTTATAAACAGAAGTGGCCGTTGGGTACCTCTACTGTTTCCAGTGGAACTGGTTATTTGAGAAACAAAATTAAAAAGGTTACTTCTCGAAAGAAAGTAGGAAATTGTTTGTATGGCAATACTCTTGCCGAGACGGGTCGAAAAAATTTATCTAAAGACAGAGCTAAAGGAGGATGGTGAAGTCGACACCGCACCACCTCTGTAGGTCTTACTTTGTTCCGCCAAAAATATACGTGGATACTTCTGAGTGTTGAGATTTGTTTCTAATTGAGTTTTATCCTTAATAAAATGAAATGACCGAGAACGTTCCTAAACAACTCACAGGAAGAAAGGGAAACCTATTTTTCAAGTAAACAAGGGATCGAAAAAGGTTGGATGAGACTTCATCTTTAGAATGAAATATTTATCCTAAACTTGTGAGAAATATTGTTGATATTTCCCTTGATAAACTATAAAATGCAACTAGGAAGAGAATGAAAACTCACACTGGTTAAGAGAGGATTGTAAAATTTGTTTTGTTTTTCATTTAAGACGGAATAATAAAGTTCACGGTTATGACGATGGCATTGTGAGAAAATAAGATAACGCGATGCTTGTTAATTTTTATAGAACCCTGTTTTCTGCTACGTTTGATGCTCATAATGCTCTGGAAGAATGTGCATCGCCAAATGAGGCCTTCGATTAAGCATTTTCGTGGAAGAACCACAAGATAACGTCCAGACGTTTGATGGAAAGCTTCATCTTTCGTCAAGCATAGTCCAGAAGCTGGCAGATGTTGGGTTGTGCTATGATACACTACAATCGATGTACGAAAAATTCAACATCTATGACCTCTATGGAGTACTGGCATTGGCGCCAACTGCAAAATCAATTTGTCGCTCATAAATCGGACTTTTAACAAGGGAATTCTCTCCGAATACTGTCACCGCTATTTCCAACAGCCATAACTGTAAGAAGTCTGAGTCTCAAATGATGATTTTTCTTTTCAGGAATGTGTAAAATCTCAAAGCAATGCGAATCCATTTTCAGAGCGAACACTTTTTTCGTCGCTGCGGACATCGACTGATCACGCAACGCGAACTTGTCCTCGCGAAAATGAGCCGTTGAGTCAGCGTATTGTTCGAAACGTGTGACCGAATGTAAGAATATAAGCTGGAATTGCGAAAACCGGATATAAAGCTTGCTAAGTTGACGAGCTAGTATCTCGAAAATTAGCTCTGTGACCTAACCCGTTTCTCCGTTACTTTGCGGATGTTTAGGACTGCTCGTTACGTGTGAGAAACCCCATTCTTAAGCAAACTTTTAAAAGTCGGCAGAAGAATATAGAGGACCTTTGTCCGAAATGACTGTTTGGGGGAATTCCATGACGTGCGAAGATTGCCTTAGGGTGACTGATTACTTCTTGTAAAGTTGACTTTCGAAGTACTCCGATCTCACAGTAGTCGTAATCTATGACCAGTACGAGCTTTTCACCTTTCTAGTCTAATAAATCTGTGCCAGATTTCTGCGATGGGTGTTCCGGAAGTTTCGATGAAAACAACGATTCAGCTCGATTAACTTTCGTCTTGATGCAGGTTAGACATTCCTCTACGAGATCTTCAAATAACCCTTATCGCATTTACGCCCATTTTACGAGAGCTCAGCAAACTTTGAAATTTCGAAACGAGGCTATCGGGTCACACAGGTAAAACTTTCAAGTAAAATCGAAGGAAACGGCTACGTTTGTAGGCATTGTTATTCACTTTCTTAAGGATACAGCGTGTTCTCGTCATAGTTAGACATTGTATTGCATACGGGTGCAACAGTCTATACAGTGAATCGGCAAATGACGAGATCCACAAGATTAGGATCGAAACCGCGGTCTTGCCAAACACGTTCAACTATCAAACTAAGAGACGAACAAAACGCACATAAAAAACTTCTCAAATAAAGAAGTTACAAACGAACAGATTAATTTACTGGCAAAAGGGCTTAAATTCATTCCAACACAACCGCTACAAAACAAAAACAGATCAGACAACAACTACTGTGTGACTTTGATCAGTTCGCAAGGAGAATGCGTCTGATTTACATATTCCGAGGGGAGGACTAAAAAACCCATCCCTATTTCAATCGGGATACGATGGAACTGAAAAATAAT